CAGCATTAAAGCCTGGCTGGTAATGGCTTATGAGCTGTGTTAATGGATTTATTTTCTGACAGGTTTATTTCTGTTTATTTGCGTTACTGGCTACCATCAGTAATAGTGCTTACTTTCCCAACTCTAGTGCCTTAGCATTTGCTACAGCTTTGCACATGCATTAAAATTCCCTTTTTTGTGTTGAACACTACATCAGACTTAGTTGGATCACCTAAATAAACCACTGAAGTATGAACAGAATACCATGCATCTTGAACATCATCACATTGAGAGAAAAAAAAAAACTACATGTGAATCCCCAATTTTGCATTTAGCTATTGATAGTCTGACCTTTTGGTGGCACAAGTAGATCCCTAGAATATTATTTCTAGATGGTATTTGTAACCTTGATTAGAAGAAAACTACTAAAAAGATACCTTGAGGTGACCATACAGTCATGCAGCCAGGCAACAGAACACTATGAACTCCACCCCATTTGCTTCAGTATAAACAAACATTTGACATCAGGATTGCAGAAAAGTGAGAAATTTACTTTAAATGACCGGACCTAAATTTCCTTAAGACCTCTTAAATTTTCAAACATAAGGGTTGTATAAAACCATCCATCTATATATTCATCTGCTCCCACTTAGTCCCGTCCTGACAGGGTCGCAGTAGGGCTGGTGCCTATCTCCAGCAGTCGATGGGCGAGAGGTGGGGTATAACCTGGTCTGTAGCAGGGGAAAACAGAGATACACATAAAGACACAAAGCCAAGCACACACTCACATCTAAGGAGAATTTAGAGAAACCAATTAACCTAACATTAAACTTTTTGGACTGTGGGAGGAAGCCGGAGTACCCTGAGAGAACCCAAGAATGCTCAGGGAGAACATACAATCCATGCAGAAAGACCCTGCCCAAGGAATCAAACCTGCAAGGCAACAGTGCTGCCCACTACCCTATTGTGCAGACCGGTTGTACAAATTAACAATTAAAAAGTCAAATTTCATGTCTTAGCAAGAATGAAAAGTAAACACATGAACTAAATTTTTGGTGCCACTCATTTAACGGCCCACAATAGTCCCAGAAATAACTTGAGTCTGAGAAAAGTAATAATACATAAAAATTCTATGAAAGTAAAATAATGAAAGTCAGAAATTACTTTTCAACCATTCTGCAATAGAATTATTTGAAAGAATAAACATACCTGGACAAACATAATGGTACCTCTAGAGTGGTAAATAATAGTGTTATATCTAGGTGTGTCCACTAATTAGCATCACAGATGTCTACTACTTCCATATACATGCATTCTTTTGCACCATGTTCTTTCCTCTTACACTGTTTACATTGGATCACTGCTGCACTTGAAGATGAAAATGTCATAAAAGCTGCACAAAACGTATACAAAATGAAAATAAATGTTGTATAAGTCAACAAGTGCCTGTGGACTGGGTTGCTGAGGCCTTCGACTCTGACCTCTGCCCAATCCTTCTAGTGCCATTCCCAAATGGTTCCCCCTGCAGGTGGTGGGCCCCCCAGGTCCTGCAAGCAATAACCCAACCACCAGGTGCTCGCCGACAAACCCCAACACCAGGCCTGGCTCAACGGTGGGGTCCTTGCTCCACGGTACTGGGCAATAGAGACTGACACGGGAGTGGATTTTCACTCCTGTCCCGTCCCACTCCCACAGAAAAANTAATCCTGTACCGTCCCAATCACGTGATCGTTACTAATACTGACTCCCATCCCACGGGAATCCCACAGGAATCCCGTGACCCGTGGGATTCCCGAAAAAATGTCAGTCTCTACTGGGCAACATCTTGTGCCTAAATTTCTGCCACAAGTGGAGGACTTCAAGTATGCTTTCCTGTTCATGGGTTATAATACCTATACCAAAGACATGGCAAGCCGTCTTTCCCCACCACGTGTTTTCTACTGGGGCAGCTGTGGTCATATTAGCTGTCACCTTCCGGGTCAGTGTCTGACTCGATAGGCTAGAGGTCATAAAAAAGCCAAAATGCAATTTGCCAAACTATACATTGACAAGACAAAAGGCTTCTGGGAGAATGCACTATGGACAGATAAGACAAAAAATTGAACAATGTCCCTACTGTGAATCATTGGACATCTGTAATGTTCTGTGCAGCTTTGCTTAATCTGCTACAGAGTGTTTTGAATCTCTCCAGGGTACAATGAGTCTCAAGACTATCAAAGGATTCAAGAGAAAACTGTGCTGCCCAGTATCATAAAGTTTGGTCTCAGTCGCAGGTCAAGGGTCTTACAACAAGAAAATGGCCCAAAACACAAAGCTAGAAACATGGCAGAATGCCTAAGTTGAAGCATTTTTGAAAAACAATGTCTAACATTTCTGCGCCAATATTGGATTTTTCTTATTGAAAATGTTGCCCCCATCTTACCCACATCTTTAATACATAAAACAGCAAAATGAGATCAGCCTCAGTCTTGCAGTACAAGGGAAACATAAACCCAAGGTAATATTCAGAGAGGTGGTTTAAAAACACTGAGAACATCTGAATTATCATATTCTTCTGCACACAAGAACTCAAAGTTAAAGAGCATAAACCTTTTTTATCATCGAAAATAGTTTATTTTCTCCATTGTATCCATGTCTTAGTTACATGTTTCCCTTTTTGTTCAACAAAGTGCATTGATTAGTCAGCAGTACGGGCAGAGGTACTTGTAAAAACTGTAGAGTCTGTATCTTGCAGCATTTGTTTTTCCTTGTGGGGACTTTAAAAGTCTCTTAAAACATTCATCTGATAAAGGGAGTAAGCAAGGCACAACGCTGGAATAAAAGAGCAGAATATTTTACAAGAGAGTGACACGGTAAACATTTTTTTAAAGGTTACTGCCTCCTAAGGTTAAAGAACCAGGACTGGTGGGTGTAAAACATGAAAACTGTGGTTAAGTTCAAGAAATCTGCATCTCACAAATGTTGCTAATTACAAACACCATTCTGATCCTCTACACAATTTCTTCAAGCCATGTTTTTTTCCATAAGAAATATAAAAATTAAGTGAAAACTACTGTCAAAAAGAAATGGGAAAAGCACAGGACTGATGGTTTTCTAGAGGAGTCCATTACAGAGTTGGTAGTTGGAGTCCCACTGGTATGAGGGGAGGGTGGGTCAAACATCTGATGTAACAGGGGGGAGATCCTCCAGGCTGTTAAACATGACAGACAAAAGAAAAATGAGGTCACACATTTTCCAGTGGTCTGACTCTTCTGCCACCTATAAGCCTGTCCCTGTGCCACCCAGCGTGCCCGCTCCTCCGAGGGCACATCCTAAAGCTCACTTAGCAGCTCCTCCTAACAAAGGGTGACAGGGGGGCTCACAGCGAAGCTAAGAGGAGGGACACAGGACCGCCTGTTTCTAAGCTTCTCCTGCAACCCAAACATGCAGAGCAGAGGCAGAAGACAGGCCTTACAGATTAGGATGATAATCACCACAACCATCCTCATCATCATCCTCATTACCACTGACTTGGAAAATTAAAAAATAAGTAAGGGTGTGAAGTTTTTGTTGTAGCTCCACCTGATTCCCTCCGGCATGTATGCTCACTGAGGCTGAGTACAGATGGAGCCAGTTCTGGTCCCTTCTTAACGCTGCATTGTTTTCTAACCTAGAAGTCCCGAGGCGATTTGGAGCATTTAACTGCACTGAGACACTCAGGTAAACATAAGTATTTTCTGAGCCTTAATGCAAAGTCAGAAACATTTTAATAGTAACACATACCACTGCACTGCAGAGACCTTACCTCTCCTGCAGCTGTGGCAGGTTGATTTATAAGAGTAATTTTGCATTTGCCTTTTATTTAAGACCAGGGTCAACGAAAGGGAAAACAAATAAATACAGGTTTGTGCTTTTAATTAATGTGGTTGAAATAAATGCCAAATGATAGAGTGAAATAAAAAAAAAGGAAATTCACTGCTTCATCAAGCCCTACAAGGTTGTACTGCCCTCCAGTGGTGTAACAAAGCAACTAACAACAGTCAGCAGATGATGATGAAGTCGTTTACCAGGACAGTAGAAGGTCTTCATCTTGGCTTCACTGTAACTACTCAGCCTCTTCTTCTGCCTGGAAAATAATAAACAAAACACAGATTTTAGTATGGAACATGAGGTATGAGGCATACTTAAATGCACAAAAATGTGAGGATACAAAAGTTTTTTTCCATTTAGGCAAATATGAAATTACAGGATGGACAGTCTATCTTTATTTTAGACCATGAAGCATCTGCCAGAGTTTAACCAACTGCAAATGTGTTAACTTCCTTTCACCTTCACACATTTTGTCACATTACACAAAACATCTTATGTTGTCTCATTGGTCAAAATAGTGAAAGGAAAAAAAAGTATGGTTTTTACAATATTTAGTAAAAAAGTGCTGCATGCACTCACACTAACCTTCCCAAAGTCAATACTTTGCAGAAGCATGTTTCTCTCCAGTTATGGCTGGGAGTCCCATGGAGGATTTTTTTCTACCAGCTTTGCTTTTTTAAGGATTGGTTTTGTTCTTACTGCTTCTTTGTAAAATAGTTCAAGCGAGAGTGAAACTGGGAGGATCCATAAACAGTGAATTCTAGTTGCAATTAGGTTCGAATTGGCCTAATTTTCATATGAACATGCTGTTAAGTCTCTTTCTCCTGCTGGGAGGTGAAACTCCCCCCAGAGTCAAGTTACTTCAGCCTTTAGCAGATTTTCTACCAGGATTCTTTTTCCTATTTATTTCAATCTGTTCCTGAACTCTGACAGCCTTTCGGTGTCTGCAGAAGAGAAGCTTCACCGCGGCATAAGGATTTCACCATGGAGATGTGTTCAGGGTAATGTGCGATAGAGAGTTTTTACAGAACAAAAAGTTCAACATTGGTTTAAACTGACCAATGCAACTTTTTCTACACGTTCCCTGTCCTCTTCATGACTTTTGGTACATGGGACAAGGAGAATATAACTTGTAGTCAAACTGTCAACAGCTTCTCTCAGCCCAGCTGTAAATCTCTGCAACATCTCCACAGTTACCATGGGCCTCTTTGCACCTCTCTGGTGGATGCTGTCCTTTCTCAGCCTGACAGATTAGGTGAATGACCAAAAAAAGAACATAATTGTCTGATCAGAGCTGTGGCTCTTTGCAGCTCCTCATCTCCTCTTTCTCTTTGTTGCTTTTCAAACATTTTCCCAGACATCCCACTTTAGGTGGGAAGCAATGTCTTAGTAAGTTAGCAGTAGCTTTATACTCTGACTTCTCCACCACATTATCATTGACCTGCCTGCTGTGTTCCCTGGTCTCCATGATGCTGTTTTATCACTTCTCTAATGAGGGTAGAACATTTTTTTTTTCACCCTTTCACTTTACAACTTCTTTACTTTGACGTCATCTATTAATATAAAATACCAATAAAATACATTGAGGTTGGCAGGTTTAAAGTGACAAAATCTTCTAACGTTTAAGAAGTATGCATGTTTGTTTGTTTGTTTGTTTTGTCTTTTTGGTTGCTGTACGGCTGAAAGAGGAAATACTTCAGCCAGTGTTTTTTTTTTTTCTTCTTTTTTTTTCTGTGTGCCTTTTTGGATTAAAATCAAAACAGCAATGGCTCAGCATGTCACTGAAGAGGTTAGCGATTATTTCTTATTCGAGCTCTCCACCCACATCCAAAGTTCCCATATAGCTGAAGAAAGTCTCTAATGATGTTATACTGTCATCTAGACAGGGACAAAAAGAATACTTCATGGCGGACACGTCACACTCAAGCAACTTTGAAGATGTTAAGAATTTGCACCAATATCACCTTTTATTCTTAGAACTCTTAATCTTTTCACTTGACATTTTAAAAAAAGGTAAAAAGAAAGATAGGTGGAGGGTAGAGTAACTTGGTGAGGGGGGGTGAGGGCCCTTCACTTGCTAGTGACTGCAGAGTCAGAAGGTTAAAAATGGTGAGGATGTAACCGGAGAGATGAGCAGTATTTAGCAGTGGTTAAAGAGACTGACTTCTTTTTGCTTTACTGACATAGATGCTACTATAAAAACAGCTCTAACAGTAAAAACTTAAATGAATTGCTTCAGCTGTCAAGAAGTAATAGAATCAAGTTGATCCAGCTTCATTTATTGAGTTTATAAGTTGAAAACTAAAATAAATTGAGTTGGGGACACTTAATCCAATTACTTGTTACCAATTGAGGCAATTCATTTGAGTTGGTGCTGCATTTTCAAACAGCAGTTGGCCTCCAGTGGATTATCCAATGTAAAATCTGTTGTCTTTGTTGTCCTCTAAACATTCTGTGGTAACACAATGTGAAACTTGTCACATCGACTTTGTATTCACTTTGCTCGGAGCGCTCTTGGCAAATATAAGAAAAAGTTAGAACTTTTTACAAGAGAGAAACTCCTGTACAGTCGGAGCATCCAACCAAAAACAAAAACACGTCTGAGTTACTCTCTTTTGCACTCAGGCAGATGCAAAGAGCATTAAAAAATGTCCATCTTCTTCAGAAAAAACAGGAAAGTAAAACCTCTTGGCATGGCAGACTGGAAGGAAAGCCTCTGTGGATATTTTTACAGGTCTCTACATCACTGAACAAATATTGTGTTGTGTCATCCCTGAAGTATTGCTCATAAATAAGAACCTGCTGCAACGCCCCACACTTGTGCTTTGTGTACTGAACTGTATGACACACAGCTGACTTGGGGAGAAAAAAGTAGTTTTAGTTTTTGTTTGTGATCCAATCATGCAGAAAACTCCCAATCTCAAATATGAGTCACACCGTGCCAAACAGGGACAGAAATACAACAATCCAAACATATACCTCTTCCAACTCTGCCTCCTCTTCTTCCTATAAAAATGAAATGAGGTGGCATTAAGCTTCGAAAAATCAATAAGCAGAGAAATATTGATCCATTTATCATTGCTGTTTCCGTCACCACACTAATTCCACCTTAAGAATCAAAGCAAATACATAAATCATGCCTCTAACTGTTAAGGCACCTCCATAGAAAACTGATTAAAGTAGCATGCAGCAAAAAAATACACAAAGAAAGACTAAAGACAAAGAACTAAGATCACCGCTGTCTAAAAGATGTGATGCCAAATAAAAAAATAAGTAAAACACAGTAAGACTACCTCACTGATTTGTTCTTCTTGGTCCTGCAGGAAAGGTTTGAGAAAGATAGAGACAAAAAGGAAGGAGCAGAGATTGCAAAGCAGTGAAGCAATGGAAGCTCAGGCTGGAATGTTGAAGAAATGTACAATTTTCCAACCATTACAGTATCTTAAAGTAGAAACTCTTTATATTCTGGACAGAGTTGGAGGTAGCATGAACTTTACTGTCTGTCTGGATCTCAATTATTAGAAGAACTGAACAAATGTGATGTGGAAAATGGTTGAAGTCACAGTGGACTGACTAAATGAACCTCCCATTTGTCCTCAGAGGTTACAAGAAAATCACCTGCAGAGATCAGCAATTTTCTAAGGTTTCGCAACAACCGTGACTTCAGAATTTAACATTACAGCCCAGAGGATGGGCCGTGATGAGGGATAAAGTAAAAATGTATTGGTTACATTTCTGTGTGCTGCAAGGTGAACATTCACTTTACAGTACAATTCGTAATGCAGCATTAATCCCCCGTATGGGAGTCTGCCCATGTGTAGCCTGACAGACAAAACTGTGGGTAAAAAGAGTTCTGTAACACAGTGTTCTACTCAAATTTATAATAAAATAGATATAGAAAATATAGAGGGGAAATAGAAATATCGCCTACTGACTTTTGGAAATGATAGTTTTCATTCCTCTTTTATATAATTCTACATACAGGCACTGTAATGGATTTTAATGGGATTTTATATCATAAACTGCCACAAAGTGTTTCTTTAATGTTATTAACAAGAAATAATGCATCATATTGTGCACCTTAGATACTTTTTGGAGTTCTGGATGAAGATGTACAAAAAGCTTTCAAATTATTTTGTCTTTTAGTGCAGTGGCACAAATATGAAAATTAGGTTTTTTTTCTTTTAATGCAGCATTTAAATTTAAAGCATTTATCCAGTGAGGAAAAATAACTGACAGTAGGAAATAATTGGAATAATAATAAATACTGGAATCCACAATGATTGAAAAAGCAAATAAAACATTTTTTTATACTTATTAGAAATATGTTTCTAATTTCATAGCGTCTAGAAACATGTTAGTTATCTATGTTTCTGTGTATCCTATGTTACCTATTGCACGTTTTTAGCCCCTGAAAAGTAGGTTGAAGTAGGTCCTACATTGGTCTTGCCACTCTACATATTGAGGGAAATGAAAAGGGAATCATTTTCAAAAATGATGGAAAATTGCAGCAAAACTGTGTGTTTTTAGGGTCACTGAGTCTTCATTAAATAACATTGTATCTGCAAACAAAGTGTTTGAAAGATTCAAACAGGGGAGGATCTACGGGGGAGACTCAAAATATATAATTTATGTAATAGCACCTATTTTTATATTGCAGTTTTTTAGAGAATATATAAAACATTTCTTGCTTCATGTTGTTATAGACTTCTTTTGGTATTACGTGGGCTATTTTTTTTCCACAAATCTTAATGCCTAGACATTGTAGGACCCAGCAAAAAGGAAATGTAAAAGTGGAGATATTTCTGTTTTATTTAGCAAAAAAGTGAAAGATTAGAAGTAAAAATAGACTGCGATTTGAGGAAGGTAGAACAACAGAGAGACCAAGAGGGTCACAGATCAAGGACCCCACTAAGAATATAACCCAATAAAGAAGATATGGAAAACAATGTCAGCATAAGTGAAATCGTTTTCCATATTTTAGAGTCAGAGAGAGAAAGAAGAAAATGCAGAGAAAACTGATAAAGAAGGAAGGCACAGTCAGCCTATCCAACTTGACCAAGTATTTATTACTGTTAGGTTTTACTTTCAGTATGAATTCCAGAGAAATGTTGTGAGACATGATGCCATCAAGCACAACAATTGCGAACTTAGGCTCTCCTAAAAGTAATGGCTGAATTCAATTATGTATGGTGATTCAAGTTATTTTTCTCAATTTGATGAATTTGTTTCTTAGATAAGAAAATAAAAACAATATATTTTTTTTGTCTTTCATCCTCTAAATGCTGAAAATAGACCATACTTGTGTCTTCAGTAGCAAAACGATTGAAAACATGCAAGCTAATCAATAGAGGAAAGGTTACCATGACTCAAAACCTGCCCTTTTTAATGTTCATCTAAGTTTCGGGCCTAAAGAGGACCCAGGACCCGAGGTGATGTATTTTAGAGAGACTGTGTGATCCACATCCAGCAAAGGTTTTCAGGTCAGCTGGAAAAATAAATATGCAGTAAATGAATTTAAGAATCTACCTCAAGCTCTTGTAGCTCTTCTTCTTCCTAAAAGAAACAACATATAGCAGGTCAGCTGGCTGTGTGGGGAGCAACAGAGCAGCACATGCATGCATTACAAGGACAGCTGTGGGAAAGGAGACTAATGGGCACATTCCAGGGAATCGGGATGCAGCTACTGCTGGGAGGAAATGAAGATGTTAGCTGAAAGGGAACGCATCGAGAGAGGAGGAGTGGATGTATTGGAAGTGAGGAAATGAAAGTTTAAAACATGAGTAGGAGCAACAACAACAAAAAAGATTCCTGGCATCCCAACCTAAAAAAAATGTAGCATCTCTCATCTGAACACCATCAAGCAGACAAGGCTGATGGCTACACGGAAGAACCGTGCATGATCTACAGAAGCACAGAAGATCACTGAAGTACAGTTACCTCTGAGTGCAAATCCTCTTCCTCCTGGAGGGAGCAAACCAACGGGAGACAGACAATAAAGCAAAGAAGCAGATCATTAATGTGCGTGAGTGAAATAATGGTAGGAAGAGGGTCAGGCAATGCTTCAGTGTGTGACGTCACGGCGCTGGAGAATCCCAGCTCTGAAATGTTTGTTCAATGAGTTAATCAATCAACTGATGGACTTTAAAAACCTAAAGGAAATAAAGTTAATTGAATTAAATTGAACACACTGGTCTTGATCTAACTAAGTGGTTCCCAAAGGGAGGGGTGCACCCCCTAGGAGGGGCTCAGTGATGCTGTTAAATTCTTGTAAAATAAACAGTTAAATTAATTACTCTTTAAAGGGTCATAGAATGATTCTATAGGGTATTTTTTGCTGGTCCTTAAGGTCTCTGAAAAAGGTGTGTAACATTGGTTGGGCTGAAAATGACATATTTGCTGTTCTATGAGCCCTAATTCAAGCCTGGTTATAAGCCTTAGAATGAAACGACAGGTTTTCTACCTTTTATGGTATGCTCATGAATATTTAGATGAGCTGTGCTCTGATTGGTTGGTTTACAACGAGCAAAGCTGCTGAGCAAAGACGCATCATAGCAACAAGCACTCATTCACTGAAACATAAACTTATTGATATGGTAGGGTGACCAGGCGACCTCTTTTTCCCGGATATGTCCTACATTTCATACCTAAAAAAATGTCCGGGTGAAATTGTAAAATCATCCGTGATTTTGGTCGAATACAGTTTAACCCACCCCTTATATTGCAAGCATGCACTCCATTACAAAAAAAAAAAAAAAAAACACCTCGCATAGTCTAAAATACAGGATAATTTATCCGACTCGCGGGAATCAGTGAAAAAGTATCTATATCAAGGAGACTTCCAGAACATCCTGGAAAATTCGGGGCGCGACAAAAGTACTAAAGACAAAAGTAGTAAATAAGGCACCATCCCTGAGTTTACGTCAACTCTGGGCTTTGTTTGGATTCGCCCGTTTTATGGTGGAAGTTTAGATTTTTGAGCTTTGAAGAAAGAGGAGGTGTCGATGGGGTTTGAACTTCTCTGTACGTCCATTTCACTCACTGTACTATCGTTATTCATCTATGACAATGTAAACTCAGTTTTGCATTCTATGACCCCTTTAAAAGAGGTACTTTTGTGCTTTGAATGGAATTATGGTTTATTTTATTGCAGATTTTCCAACCGTCCAAATCTTTCTTGAAATCAAAAAGTTTGGAACCCACTGATTTAACTAATCTCACTCAGTTTTTTCATGTAGCTCCTAGAATTGTGTCAAGGCCCTTTATAAGATAAACTGTTATGATTTTGTTCAGTCACAGTTATGGATAGTTTAGATGTATTTGATAAAATAAAAAAAAATGTGGGGAAACACCTCCACTAATCAGGCTGCCGTATGAAATACGAAACAGATCTGGTTTTGTTAAAAGAACCAGGAACAGATCTGACCAAATTTTCCTGAACGAGGGAAAATAAATGTAAATGAATGTCGTGATGTGAAGACAGCTGGTTGAAGTTCAAACTGACCTTCAGAATGGCAGAAAAATAGGATTTAAATGACTTTGAACATAGCAGAGTGACAGATGGCTGCTCTAACTGTTTCATCAACTGTTGATTTCTAGCCAGCTCTTGGGTTTACAGAAGATGGTCCCAAAAAGGAAAAACATTCAGCTGAGTGGATGAAAATGCCTTGTTGATTTAAGGGGTAATAGGAGAATGGCTAGACTGGTTTGAGAGAATAGGAAGAATGGAGAAGCAGATAAAACAACCTTGTTTTAAAGTGTTTTAAAGCACAGATCCATCCTGCCTTACATCAACAGTCGAGCAGCACGTTAAAGCCTGCAGCCTCCCTGAGTATTGTTACTGACCATGTCTCTTCTTTTAAGAACAAAATGTACATGTAATATCATGGATACTTCCTGTAACATAAGGCATGAAATCATAATAAATTCATCTCAAACTGAATTGTTAAGCCTGACAAAGAGTTCGATGTGCTGCTATGGCCTCAACAACAACCAGATCTCAATCAAATAGAGCATCTCTGTTATGGTGTGGAGGAGGAGATCAGAATTAGTCAGGTTTGATGCCATCATGTCCAAAGGGCCTAAAATCTCTGGGGGAACATTTCCACAGGTTGTTGGATCTACGCCACAAAGTATTAAGACAGTTCTGAAGGCGAATGTTGGTGAAGCTACAGAACCGAATCTTTTTATTCTTCTGATAAAGAAATAAAACAAAATTAAGATCATATATGCACTGTTTTTAATTCTGAACCACCAGAAAACACTGTGTGCTGCTAAAGTTAGTAACCAACTACTTTCACAGTAACAAGAGGTGGAGAGGGGATGACCAAGAGGACTTATATGTTCTCAAAGTGCACAAAATTTTGGACAGAATGACAAATTTGAAATTTTTTTAATAGTGTTTCAAATTTGATTTACTATTATATTATTTATATACTGTAGCCAGTATATGAATATATGAATATGCTCTACAGTTTAGGGACTATAAGGGATCAGGAGTGGATATAACATATGTGTTAAACTCAGGGTCCGTAGGCCAAATCAGGCCCACCAGGGCAATTTATCCGTCCTTCAAGAGCCAAAAAAGGTAGATTATGTCTTAAAATGGAGGCATCTGCTGTTTTAAAGTGTGAAAAGTGGCTAAAAAGACTCAATAAATATGAGTGTAGTTATAATACCATTGCAGGTTTCTCTTTCTAAATGAAAGTATTCACTTAAAAGTTTCATTTATACTGAAAAAACTGCCCCTTTATTAAGAAGATATAAAAACTGGTTTAAAACCTCTAAGAAAGAGGGGGCAAATCATAATCAAAATGTATAAATCATATCTATGAGAGCAAAGTTAGCCAAAAAAAAGGAATTTCTATTGAACAATAGTCCTAAAATTCTCCCTCTTGAGAAGTAAACTCTACCCTGATGTCAAAAATAACAAATAAAAACATACCTGCTCTTCTTCCTCTTCTTGCTGCGCCTCCTAAAACACAGTGTTGATAAATGAGTCAGTACTTAAAGACATCAGCATCCACAGATTAAAACCATGAAATAAGGGTTAATGATTTTCCTGATATATCTTAACCACAACAGTTACTGTAACAGTGAAGGATTATTTAGGTTGCAATGTACTCTATTGTCAAGCTAAGCATTAAAATATAACAAACAGCAAAAAAAAAAAATTAAACTGTAAAAGTAAGGGAAAAAAGCGTTATGAAGAGTTCATTGATGCTGTAGAGAGATTTAGGTCGACGCTTTGCTTGTTAGTGGAGGGACAGACTGAAGGATGCTGTAAAGTGCAAGGACGACGGTAGGTAAATGTTTCATAGAAAGAGGAAGTTAAAGTCCACATAAAATGGGGGCGTTCTTGGAATGACAAGAAGGAGCAAGAAAGAGTGAGATTTAAACACTCCAGGGTTATGAGGGAGAAAAAACTGATGAGCGGCTGGACTTGAGTTATGCGGCAATTACTGTGTCTTCTGTGACCTCGTCTGTTTCTTCCGCTGCCTCCTCCTCCTCCTCCTCTGCCACATGCTCTCCCCTTGAAGTTTCTAGTTCGTCTGCTTCTCCATCCTCTCCTTCGTCCTTATCCCCTGCATGTCCCTCCTCTTCTTCTCCTTGTGCATCCCCATTATGCTTCTGAGAGGGGAAATCAGGGTGATCAAGGAAAACAAGACATCAGGAAATAATTCAACAAACTTTGAGAATTGGGGGAAAAACAGGTTCAGCAGGATTAAAATGACACAATCCTCAGCTGGAGAGGTTAGTCTTGCAAAAAAAATGCATCCAGCATGTAAAATAATGATCTATTAGAAAATGAGAAGAGATGGTTTTAGGGGGGAAGTGATAAAAAAAAGAGATAGGCCTGCAGCCCAGAACCTCATGCAGTAATAAAACTAGCCGATTTCATGGTGGGGTTAAGACCCTGATCAAATCATCAGCTAGGGAGGAAGGGAAGTGATCAGGTTAGACCAGATGCGGAGGATGAGGAGGAGGTGTGGCAGAGTTCTATAAAGAAAAAGCATGAAGGGAAGATGGAAAGGTATTGTCGTCTTTACTGCTGAGTCGTCTGGGTTCTCCTCTGCATGGGTTCCGTTCTCTATGATGTTCTCCTTCTCAGCCTGCAATGCTTCCTGCATCATGAAGAGCAGGGAGGGTTTGACACACATCAATCATAACGATTCAGAAACAAGAGACTTCCATGTTTTCATTTAATTAAAGTATCCAGTTCTGCAAAACGTAGTTTAAAACTAAAAATATTGCTAATTCAATTCAATCTTTATTAATCCCAAAGGGAAATTTAGTTAATCTGCACTGGAAAAAATCAAAATCTAGATAAGTAATTTTTTCTTAAAATAAGTGCATTTGTTCTTGAATCGAGGAGATAAAAATGACATTTTGCCAATAGAACAAGACAATTTACATTTAAATTAAGAAAATACAATTGTGTGGTCTTATTTCAAGTGCATTTTATGTAATTATCTTATTTTAAGAGTAAAAATATTAATTCTATTGGCAGATCATTTAATTTACCTACTCAAATTAAGGGTAAATACACTTAATTTAAGACGTTTTTACATATTTCTAGATCGTTTTTCCAGTGTGGCTATCTGGGTTATTGAACCTTACTGGTGTCAGAAGCAGCTAAAGGATACCAGTTGAGATTAAAGATCTTTTTTTTATATATACTGTATATATAACATTTGGTCGACATCTTGTAGAAACACCTTTCATTATTTCTTTGCTAAACAGCTCAACCTCATTCAGACTTGGTGAGGGACATCTATGAGCAGCAATTTCTTGCCATATGTTCTCTCCTGGATTTAGGTCTGGGCTTTGACTGGACCACTCTAACACATAATTATCCTTTCATCTTAACCCTTCTGCTGCAGCTCCAGCTCTGAGCTGAGGGTTGTTTTCCTGCTGGAGGGTGAACAGGGGGTTAAAAGGTATATTTTGTCACGTCTATAAAGACCAGAACACACCAAATACGATTTTGCGTCTGATCCAAAAGAAAGTTGTGTCGAATGAGGTTGTAGCGTTTGCTGCTTATTGAAAGTCAATGAGAAGGATCCCACTCAACATGATTTTACACAAAGGGGGCTTGCTTAGGTCTGACTGAGATAGACCCCAGGACTATGCAGCAATTCAGCAGCAATTTAATTGGTCTGACAGGAAGAGAGACGTGGTTACAAAGTAAAACACAACTGCTTTGGAGGAAAACAAAATTTGTTCATCGCAAAGGGAAACAGTCACTTTTTGGAGTTGCGCATCGCACATATAAAAAGTGGGACACACTCAAGCAAAAACAATAAAGGAAACATTAAAAAAGAATACTCTGGAGTTCAGGAGGACAGAACACAGATAAAGTAGTGAACTTTCTTTGAGCCTCACAAAAACAACAAGTGAAAAAACTCGCAGTTTATCAATCTCAAAAATAAAAAATAACTTCAGGAGAAAAAAATTGATTTAGTGAATTAGTGAACCTCTTTGAGCCTCACAAAAAAACTAAATAACGAGAGACAGCAGAGTATGAAAGCGGGGCATATCTCTCACCTATTTATAAAAAAAGGAAAACCTCAACAAACTTCCCAGATCTCTCTCAGTAATGCATAATAATCTGTTCAAGTCAATTATTGGGAAGTTGTGTAAAGCACAGACACAGAAGTCAAAAGAATCTGTGCAGATCTGCCCACCCTGCTTATAGTCGGAGTTTCTACGCAATCAGTGTGACATGGAAAAAAATGGGAAAATAAAGTTTTATGCAACCGGTGTGTTCAGGCCTTAAGACTGTTCTGTATTTAACTCCATCCATCTTTATTCCTTCTGGTCTTACATTTTTGATGCACCTATCTATATGTGTCAGATACTTATAAAACTTTAATATCAAGGATAATTTTTTTTAAACTATTCAAATAATGATTTTATTTGTGGAGTAAAGCTATCTCAATCAAAGGATTAAGTTTGCCCCACTTAATTTCTTTATGTTTAGCACTAACGACACCATAATTTGCGAAAAACTAGCAATCAGTCATTTTTCCCACCGTATCTGAACTGGCTTTCTTTTTTTGCAGAAAAGTTTTATCCATTGAGGCATTTTGGATGATTTTAGCATTTTGGATGATTTTTGAGCCGTCAGAACGCCTTGATACAACATTTCACCTGGATACAAATCAAGACTACAGATAAGCAACTCCTTTATCTTATTTATTTATTGACAGACTTGCTGCTGTGTTTTACATCATTGCCTGATTATATGACCAAATGAAGTTCAGCTTAAAGTCATGAGTCCTTTCTTTATACTTTAGTTCAGGATTTTCTGCAAGATAGCAACATTCATGGCTCAGTCAAGGCTTGGGTCAGGTAATCGTGCCCAGAGCATCATACTGCCACCGCCATGTGTAACTGTAAGTATACTCTCTCCTTTTGAAATGATATGTTAGATTTACAGGGTAAGAACACATATAATCTTTCAAAAAGTTCCACTTTTATCTCACCAAGATGATTTATAGACCAATGGGAATTGTCGTTTTTGGATTCCCTTACTGCCCTGCCTATTTAGTTGAATTATTTCATACTTATCCATGGCACAGTTTTCAGAATTTACTTTACCAGCATTTTAAACATTCCAACTCTATGCTTATTTTTATTTGCCTACTGTATGTAATCCCAGTAAAATAAGATTTTGATTCAAGGATAAGGAATATATTAGCAAATATTCACTGCAGCAAGACAACAACACACCACATTTTATCACAGCAGTGCTGCATCTTACACAACAGTCACAGTGCTCAGTTTGCCTCCTCACAGCTCAGAGTGATCCAGTTAAAAACCAGTAAGGAAAAACAATAATGTGAGACCAAAACTGAACAACTGAATGCATGTTTATATATAAAACAAACCTTTTCTTTAAAATAGAATAATTAGTCCCCTCCGTTCCTAAACACAGAGATTTTAGACTGGATTTGCAGTGTTAGATACTGTTGATCACTTTATTTTATTAGAGCGTCTGGAAAACTGGCTCAGCCTTTCTAGTACAACATTGGACTGATTTAAATCCTACCTGAAGGACAGGGACTTCTATGTGTCAGCAGGGAGCTATCAATCAGAGAACAGAAAATTCACATGCAGGGTTCCTCAAGGCTACATTCTGGGGCCCCTCCTTTTCAACATCTACAAGCTGCCCTTAGCTTAGATTATAGCAAACAACAAGATTGGTTACCATAACTATGCAGACGACACACAGCTTTACATCACAATGTCACCAGGTTACTATAAACCCATCACTGCATTGCCCAGATGCTCAATATTTGGACGCTCCATAATTTTCTCCAACTGAATAAAAACAAAAGCGAGGTAATAATCTTCAGACCAGAGGAGGAGAAATCCAGAGTTAGCTCACAGCCTCAGCTACAGCTAGAAACCAGTGATTATGGCCGAAATCTTGGTGTCATGATGAACTCAGACCTGAACCCTCAGAGGTACATAAAGTCAGATACGAAGCCAGCCTTTTATCACCTGGAGAACATTTCCAGGATTAAAAGACTAATGTAGGATCTAGAAAAACTCATTCATGTATTTATCTTTAGTAGAATTGATTGATGCAACAGCATGTTCATAGGTTTGCCTAAAACATCCATCAGACAGCTGCAGCTGATCCAGAATGCTGCTGCCCGTGTTCTCACTAGAACTAAGAAAGTAGAGCACATCAGCCTAGTTCTCAAGTCCGTCCACTGGCTTCCTGTAGCTCAGAGAATATACTTTAAAATCCTTATGCTAGTCTACAAATCATTTAATGAATCGACAAAAACATACATAACAAACGTGTTGTCAGTGTATCAACCTTCCACACCACTCAGGTCTTCTAGTTCAAGCCTAATCTGTTCACCCAGAACTAAAACCAAACATGGAGAAGCATCATTTAGCTCCAATCTTCGACTTATCTGGAACAAACTTCTAGAAGACTGTAAAAGTGTTGAAAGCCTGAGTTATTTTAATTAAAAGTTAAACATATATGTTTAGAGCTGCTTTTGACAGTTGAAGTTAAACTGTGAACCGAGGTTTTACTGGTTTAAGTTTGTGGTCCAGCTGTTTTATTTATTTTACTACTTCTTTAATCATGTTTTTATATTTATTTGCTTTTATTTCATCTTTTAGTTTTCTTCCATTTTATTGTTTAATTCACGTAAATCAATTTGAATTGTCCTTGTACTGAATTGTGCTATACAAATAAACTTGCATTGCTTTGCCTTAGACAAATTAAAATATTAAATATTTCTAGTTTAACATATCGATATGTTGTACTTGCTATTTAAGGAGTAAACATCTGAGTGAAATGACTCAGGAACATTGCTGCAGATGTTCAGTTTTCAATTGTAGCCAAGATAATAACGGATTATGTTCCTTTAATTGCTAACTCTCATGGAAAATATGCATTCTTTGCCTTTCACTGAGGCTGTGCTATTGTTTATTTTTATATACAGTTTTTATCCTTATGTGTAATAAATCACAAGGCCAATATTAATCCTGCAAAAATAACACATGTATGATCATAATAACTGATCCTAGCTTTTTTTGATGCTTGTTAATACTGTATAACAGGCCGCTGCTCTTATATCAACAGCAAGAAATACAATGTGTTTAAGAAAAGTTAGATCACATGAGCTCAATCAGCAGGTCTAACCTTTGATCCAGGAGGAGGGGGCAGCCCTAGGAAGGAATACACAGAGTTTTCCTCCTTGGCATCAAAGAACGTGTCGTAATCCTACAGGAAACAAAAGCATTGTTAAAACTGTCTTCTGTTTTATGTGTGATGATAAACCTGCTACCATAATTTATGAAGCAGATCATGGATTCAAACTGGATTCATTGCTACCAGTGGATTTCTGCTCACCCCACAGTAGCTTTCCTCATTAAAAATCTGGGGAGGGAGTGGGATGCCATTGGAGGGCTTCTTCTCTTCTGGAACATTTTCCCTCATCCACATGCGGTTCTGCTCATTGCAGGCAATGTCCAGCTCAGTGTAGTCCACTTTCAGAGCCTCCAGGAAGGCGACCACATCTTGCTGCTTCTTTTTGATCTGGAAGGCAGACAAATGGACAGCTGATAAGTACTACTACTAATAATAATAATTGAACAATTTAACTTTATTGATCTCACACTGCAAAGAAAGTTAAATCTCAATAAGTAATTTTAAGTAATAAATAATTTTTTCTTGAATTACAGAGGTAAGTGAGACACTTTGCCAATGGAACAAGACAATTTACATATAAAATAAGAAAAAAATCATTATATTGTCTTATTTCAAGTGCATATTATCTAATTATCTTATTTTGAGAGTATCCTATTTACTTATCTTATTTACCTCCTTGAATTAAGGGTAAATACACCTAATTTAAGACAATTTTACTCATTTTTAGATCGTTTTTTGCAGTGCACACTGGAGAAATTAACCTCTGCATGTAACCCATCCCCTTGGGGAGCAGTGGGCTGCCATTGTGCGGCACCTGGGGAGCAGTGTGGCGGTTAAGGGTCTTGCTCAGGGACCCAGAGTGCAGGCTGTAGGGATCGAATCATGTGCTTGCAACCTTCTCAGAGCACAAGCGCACTGCTCTGACCAGTAGGCCAACACTCCCAAACTAACTTTAAACACTTAAAAACCCTTTCTTTTCATATTCCATTCATTAGTTTTAAGATTTCTTTTGCTTTTTTTCTATATTTTAGTTTTCATAGCCCTGTACAGTATATTCTACTCTCTGGTTCCTTGGTTCAAAATAAGCCATTTTCTCAACTTCTTTAGTTCAGCTTCTGTAACTTGCCTTTCCTCGCAGCTGCATCCTTCTTCATACCAGCCACCTGCTCCTTGTTCAGTGATCA